TTTTTTCCCCCCATTTTTCTTGTTATAATTTTATCTAACTTTTTATGAGCCATATTAAGCGAAAATAATGGGGGGAGAAATTTGTTTATAAAAGAAAATATTTCTTTACATAATTACTAAAAATAAATACTTCCGATTTTTTATAAAATTATTATATGAATATTTCTAAATATAATATTTATGTAATGTGTTATTTGAATAAATATAAATATAATTATTTAAATGAAATTCGTTAAATCGATCACGATTTGGCCGACCCCTTTTCAACAGGGTTTCGAACCATTAAGTATAGAGGTTCGGTTCGTTACGGTTTTTAGTTTAAAATTTATAAAGGTTTTGTTCCATTTCGGTTTTTTTTGAAAAAATTTAAATCGGTTCGGTTTATAATTTATAACGGTTCTTTTCCGTTTGTTCCGGTTCTTATAAATTTGATTTAAAAAAAATTTAATAATAAACCATATATATTAATATTAGAGAAAAATCTTTTTATAATTTCTTATTTAATTTAACCATGATAATCTAATAGATATTTTTATTAAACTTAGTAAATATAAATTAGACAAATCAATTTTTTTTATTTTATATATAAATAAGATAACACAAACATGCGCAAATACAATGAGGAATAAAATAACACATAAATATAATGAAATTTATATTATTTATTTTTAAAAAGAGAATTAGAACGGATAACTAAAATATTTTCTAATATTTCAGGATTTAATTTTCTCTGCGCAGAGAGTATAAACTTAAGGCTAGAAAATGCTCTTTCTACGGATACCTGCGTAGCTGGAACTGTTAGCACAGTTATAGCTAACTTATAAAGTTCTGGCATACTATTCCTTACATTTTCCCAATAATTCAAAAGATTTGTATCTTTTTCTAATCTCTCTATATTATCAAATGGCCGAATTATATATTCTCTTTCTATACATTTATTATAATTTTCTTTGCCCTGCTGAGAACCGAAGCTAACTAGCTTTTGCAGGAACAGGACTATATAATAATTAAAAAATCCTCGGGTCTGAACCTCGAGCACAAACCCCGGGTCTGAACCCCGAGCACAAACCTTGAGCACAAACCCCGGGTCTGAACCCCGAGCACAAACCCCGGGTCTGAACCCCGAGCACAAACCCCGGGTCTGAACCCCGAGCACAAACCCTGGGTCTGTGCTCGGGGTTCGTGCTCAGAGCTGGTTTAGTTGATATTTTAGACCCAAAACCCGGGTCTGAGCACTACACAACCAACCAATTAACACCACTAAGCATGGCATAAATAAGCATAAAAAATATTAAATAATAATTTTAAAAAATTACATTATGCGATAAAAAAAAATAGGAACTTGTTGAAATTTATTTTTTTAAATAATAATTTCTTTTTATTTGTAATTCTATGTTTAACCCTTCACTACAAAGATGGAAAAAACTCCCTTAACTACAAAGGTGGGGTCTATTTTACCCCAAATTTTGATTAGCTATATCTCAGAACATTAAAGTTTGAGATCTAAAATTTTGAATATAGATACACCAGAGTTGCTATGATACTTTCATATTTATCTAGATAGATACATGGTCTAAAAAGCTTAATATACCAAGATTTATAAATACAATTTTTTATTTTAATCATGTAAGATGAGTGTAAAATATCAAAATAAAATTTATTCAGTTTGATATTTTATATATAAAAGAAAATTTGTTTATTAAAACAGTTTTCTATATCAAATCCTAAATTATGCTATTATTTTTTTTTACATAATATTTTATTTCTAAAGATAATATTGGCTGAGAGATAGTAAAATAAATTGCAATAGTCCTAGGAAAAACATTCAATACCTTACAGTTATATTATTACATCACTGATTTAAAATCAATGAAAGGCTTCAAATTACGGCTAAACCGTTTAACAACACTAATAAGCCAAGAAGCCAGCTTGGGTCAACCATTTAACAACACTAATCACAAATAAATTAATTATTGGCTTAAAAGTAGGCTTGAGTCAACTCTTGAGTCTAAGTCAAATTTTCGATTAAAAATTTGACTGAGTTTAGGGATAAGCCGGCATGGCAGTCAAGAAGCCGGCTTGGCTCAGCTGTTTAATAAAACTAGTAAGCCAAGAAGCGGATTTGGATCAGCCGTTTAACAACACTAATCACAAATAAATAAATTTCGGCTTGAGCTAACGGCTTGAGCCAACTCCTGAGCAGGCTTGAGCCAACTCCTGAGCCGGCTTGAGCCAACTCCTAAGCCGGCTTGAGCCAAATTCTGAGCCGGCTTGAGCCAAATTCTGAGCCGGCTTGAGCCAACTCCTGAGCCGGCTTGAGCCAACTCCTGAGCCGGCTTGAGCCAACTCCTGAGCCGGCTTGAGCCAACTCCTGAGCCGGCTTGAGCCAACTCCTGAGCCGGCTTGAGCCAACTCCTGAGCCGACTTGAGCCAACTCCTGAGCCGACTTGAGCCAACTCCTGAGCCGGCTTGAGCCAACTCCTGAGCCGGCTTGAGCCAACTCCTGAGCCGACTCGAGCAAGCCAACTCAGCCGGCTCAATGAGTCGGCTTGAGCCTGAGCGAATTTTTTGGCTACGACCTCGAGGTCGGAGCCGATAAAACTCGGCTTTTTAACAACACTACTTTCAATTGGTGTATTTTTAGATTTTTTTTTTGATAAATAAATATCGTGTGGATTTTGAAGGAAATTTTTTGATACAATATCAAAGTTTTTTAAATTAAACATTTTACATCTTTATGGATAACATAAATTTCACCAGTATTTCTTATACAAGGACCATGGCTTTTTAAGATCATGAGTTTCTTATCAATCACACATGTTGTTAAATTTATATAGAACTATTTTTGTTTTTCCTTAAAAATTTATATATCTATATTATCATTGTATATATATTATGTTTATTCAAATAAATTCATTAATTATTTAGTATACCTATTTTTATTAAATTCTTAAATATACTCTGTTTTTCTAAATTCTTAAATATACTCTTTTTTTGTAAATTCTTAAATATACTCTTTTTTTTATAAATTCTTAAATATACTCTTTTTTTCTAAATTCTTAAATATACTCTTTTTTTCTAAATTCTTAAATATACTCTTTTTTCTAAATTCTTAAATATACTCTTTTTTTCTGAATTCTTAAATATATTTAAGATTTTTTTTAAATTTAAAAAAAATAATAAATAAAAAAATATATTTTAAAAAAAAAAAATAAATAAAAAATATTAAAAAAAAATAAATAAAAAAAAATAATATATGAAAATTTTCCCATGATTTAATCTGTTACCGTCATCTCAATTCAAATTTAATTTAATTTTTACTTTTTTTTAATTTTAGGCAAATATATTTTCTTCTTTTTTTTTTTACAAAAACGTACCGGGGCGCCATGAAGAAAACAGGTTATATTTTGGTGTTTTAAATTAACTTTATTTCTACTTTTAAAAAATCAAATAATAATAATGATGATATGTATAACAATCAACTGGTATATATACTATAACATTTCAATAGATATTCAAATTAATACTCAATTAACATTAAAATAAATTATTTCAACTGATCACAAATTTAAATAAACAACACAATTAACAAAGATCTTTGAAGATCTGAAAATTTGAAGATCTTTTACTTTTAAAAAATTAAGATCGTAAAATTTGAAGATCTTATATTTTTAAAAAATTTTGAGCATTTAAAAATATTTTAGATCAACTATCTTCAAAGATCCTCATATTTTATAATGTTATAGTAAATTATTATTTTTTGAAGTAAATGGGATAGTAAGCATGTTAAATCAAAATATAAATTCAATAAAGATGTATCGACAATTTTTATAATAGTTATTTTTTTTAAACTTTTTTTGTATATGGGTAAAAAAAATTTTATATTAAAATCTATATTCTAATTTTCCGATGTCCTCACTACGTCATGTCATCGGTACGTATTTTTATTTATTTTATTTGTTGATTTTATTTATTTATTCTATACAAACAGATGATCCTAAAACTTAAGTTTTCTATGCAACTGTAGGAGGCCATATTAAAACTAATTGTCAAAGTAATACATATTTACTAAATATTACAAATTATTAATATTTTATATAGAAATTCAACTAGGAGTTAACTCATAGATTAATTGGTAAATCTGAGTGTCAAAAAAGACGAAATTATAACAAACTGAAATGACAAACTAGAAAACTAAATAAAAAGAACTATCAAAATTGAGCAGACAATCCAAACTGGCAAAGATCTAAATATAGAAATAACTTATTCAAATTACAAAAATCGCAAAGAAACGTAAGGTTTTTTTATACACTTATATTTTCTTATACAAAAAAAAATGTATATGTATATATATTTTTATTTAAAAAAAATGGTCGATATATAACGGTGTTGCATGATCAATTAATTTGTGACCGTATTTTTAAAGGTTCTGTAAAAATCCGATTATTATTTTTTAATCTTATTGGAAATTAAGCATTTTATTTTTTACAATAAGGCTATAACAGATTAGTAAAATTTTATAAAGTCCTTCGATTTTATTTGATTAATTCAATAATATCATGATTACCTTAAATATTTCAAAAAATAGCTAATTTCAATAATGATCCATTGTGATAGTAAATATAACTATGTGAAACACCAAACCCGAAAGTAACAATAGATATTTCCTAAAGCATCCAATTTCAGAATCGTCATTAATATTATTTTAAACATTAACATTAAGTTGTTTTGTCGGTAATAATAAAATCTTTGTCAAATCATCTGCTTCGTTTTCCACTTCGATTTTTTTCGTCTGCGATATCCATTCGTAATAAAGAATGTTCATTGCCTAAATTCATCATTGATAGTACTGTGGTATTCCTTCGTGGAGTTTTGGAATAATGATTGACGTTATTATTATGAGGCGAATGTTTCAAAAAGCCTGTTTCTGGCAAGATGTGAAAAGCGGCGACGTAGAGAAATGTAGCCCCACTGAATAACATGGCCATAGCGTAAAGGGATTTGATCTCTATTTGTCTACATTGACGTCATACATCGTAATCGGGTGGTTGTCATTGCTCCGAAACGTTGAGTAAACGATAATTCATGACCATTGGCTTGATAATTAACTTGACAGGAGTCTTATAATGAGTAATACGTTTCACATGTGATTTTGGCAATTTATTTATATTTATATTATTATTATTTTATAATAATTAATTTTTTTTAAAAAAAAAATCATTAAAATACAAGTGAAATACAAACACAAAAAAATAAAAGAAAATAAATTATCATATAAGTGACCGAAAAAAAAATAAATACTAATGATATTTATAACACAAAAAAATTATTTTATCCACAACTAACCCAGTCATGCGAATCCCCAGGTCAGTATTATTCATTCCTTAATATTAATTACAAAATTAGAGGTAACTTCCAATAAAAATAAGTTAGGGGAAAAAAATTTTTTTAACAAAATTTTTAAGATTCTCTTTTCAATATATATTATTAAGAACCATGATAAAAAGTCATTTACTAAATTGATACTGTATTTTCTTTCCAACAAATATATACTTTTATGTCTGGCTACAACATAAAACCAGATAAAAAAAAAATAACAAATGGCAGACACTGCCGATTGAAAAAAACTTTTTATCAATGTGAATAATCAAAACATAAACATGACCAAACAAAAACTTTTTTACTAACACAAAAATAAAACTTTTCTATTCAAATATTAGGTCAATCAGGCGAATCCCCCAATCCCTATTCATGTCTTTTCTAATTGTTATGAACATAATGGCAATTTCAAAAAAAAAATTTTTTTTAACGACCATCTACCCTGGCAACTGGCCAGACAAAAAAAAATTTTTAAAACAAAAATTTATCCACCAACCTTTACTAATACCATAAAAATCTTCCTATTCATTAAAACAGTCATCTGGTTACAAAAACAGATTACGCACGACAAACAATTTTAATAACATTAAGCAAACAAAACTTTCCATTTTTTTATACAAATATTAAAAAAATTCTATTGATCCAAACAAAAACCTTTCGACTTACTCCGAGAACAAAACTTTTTAATACCATGAAAAACTTTTCTATTCATTTGAAAAAAATGATTTTTTGCTCCTATTATCTGGCAGATACAAAAATTTGTTTCTTTTCTTTTTAACAAGCTCATACCAAACAATTTTTTTAACCCTTGTCTAATTTGAACCATAAATTAGACCGAAATTGACCATCAAAACCTTTATAAATTGAATAACATAAAAAATAATTATCCAATTTACTGAACCCTAACACGATATAAACCGTCTAATTAGTTTTAAGATTCATTCTTAAAAATAAAATCGAGTATATCTTCTCATAATATTTACCCCATCTTATTTTACATCCACTTGATAATCATTAAGACATCCTAACTTGTCTTCGAAAATTATATCATATTTCTTCATTAAAAGCGATATATCTTCAAGCATTTTATGTAATTCATTACTATCAATAGCAACCATTTGGTTTGTATCAATGCTTATATTGTTTTCAACCATTAATTCCGTGGAATTTACATACCTATCAGAATTAAGGGTTGAATTATCTTGTTTTACTATTAAATCCGTCCCTTCTATTTCATGAATTTTTTTTCGAGCATTATTAGCAATATTTTTGTTTTTAGTCTCATTTAGGGCCGAACCATTATGTATGGCAAAAATATTCCAATAATTATTGAAAGGACCTAACTGAATAATCCAATCCCACCCCATGATGGTCTCCACATCTTTTTTTACTACTCATAAATCTAGGAAAAATGTGGTATCATGGAGAATTACTCCCAACTTAGTTTTTCCCAAAACTACAATTTCAGATCCATCAAATTGTCTGACACACATAGATTTTTTTTTCAAGTTTACCCCCAGGCCAATACTTAAAATAATTTTTTCACATTATGGAAATGCTAGCCCCTGTGTCGAACAACATGTCGATGTCCCTCGAGTCAACTCTTACAGTAACTCTCGGACAAGGACAAGATTCGACTAATCTCTCAGTCATTAAAATCTCATATATTTTAATTGACTGATCAATATTTATCTCATTTGAAACCTCAGTTTCATGAAAATTCCCATTTGAACATAAATTCAACTCGGAATTCAGTGGTTCATTAACAATATTCATATATTTTTTTGCAATATCACTGGGATATTTTTCCCATCTGAAAGTATTAACACCCCTTTTATCGGAATATTTAACAATACCCTTAGGATATTTCTCCCATTTAAAATTATTAGAATCTTCATTATTTTTATTTTTATCATCAGGATGAAAAAAATTTCTGTTAAAACCACGGCTTTTACGAGAATCATATCTCATTTCAGCATGGTTATTTACTTTATTACTATTTCTACCACCCGATCTCCTACTTACTATATGATTACACTTGCAATCATATAGTCATTCGATACAATTTATGGCTACATGTCCCGGTTTGTTACATTTAAAGCACAAACGGGATTTACCATAATGCGATTGTGGCACCTCCAATTTATTTGTGTTGGTACCAGAAATTTTTCTAACATTAGAATTTTCTAATGTCAATTTCTTTAAATGAAAACCCTCACGAAAATTTTGTTCTTTGACCACACAGGTCTCTACCTTGTGGCCCCTATACCCACAGCGGGTACATTTCAAATCTTCTAAGATTTTTTTATTACCAGAAAAACCATTTTTTTCAACGGAGATATTTTTTCAATTTGACCATGTCGGACCACATATTTGGCCTTTATTACCATTACTATTCGCAATAACCAATTTATTTATATCTTGATATATAATCTTAATCACTTCTTTTATTTCTTTCAATTCTCGGAGGATAACTACAGATCTCTCCACAATATCCAAACGATCATCGTTATTACATTCCAAAGTTTCTACCACTTCTGGTCTGCCGTTCTTGATTTTATTTAAAACCACATTTAAATTACTTTTTAAGACCGAAATTTTTTTCCAACAATCAGCCGACGCTATAGCGTCTCTTTTCCAATTACCATATACTTTGGTCGCAACCAGAGTACATTTTCCAAACAAAAATTTTATTATAATAGATAACCCATATATTATGATCAATAATAAAATTGTCACTAATGCATTATTTACATTAAATTTATCAACGATAAAGATTTTGATAAGTAATACTCGGATACTCCGAAATTTTATTAAATAAGCTAGGCTCAATATCAAAATTAAACATAAAGCACATCTCATTATATGGAAAATTTATATTACTTTAAATCGGCTGTGGTAAATAAGTAATTTTAGAATATTTAAAAATACGTTCTTTTTTTAAAAACTATTTTTTTAAATTAATTAAATTTCTAAAAAAAATTAAACAAAAATGTGATTGCGTTGTGTCCTGAGGAGAGATACAAAATATAAAATAAAAATATTGTTTTTACCTTATAATAACGAATAACCTTGGTATCAAGACTATCCTGTAGTCACGGCCAACAACTGTCAAAGACTAAATTATAACAAACCTAAATGACAAACTAGAAAACTAAAAAAAAAAGAACTATCAAAATTGAGCAGACAATCCAAACTGGCAAAGATCTAAATATAGAAATAACTTATTCAAATTACAAAAATCGCGAAGAAAGGTAAGGTTTTTTTTATACACTTTTATTTTCTTTAATATTCATGAAAAAATTAATTATTATAAAAATCTTTTTTCATCAAAAACGATAAAAAAAAATAATTTGAAATGATTGACATTTCAAATATATAAAAAAAATATTATAATTTACGACTGAGATTTCTCATTCATTAATTATAAATTTAATATCTAGGCTTGGAATTTTTTTCAAAATTAATGCAACTGTAGGAGGCCATATTAAAACCAATTGTCAAAGTAATACATTATTTACTAAATATTACAAATTATTACGAAAGCCCATCAAAAATGACGGGGAATGAGATTTTTTTTCATTTTTTTACGATAGATGTCATTCCAGGTCCAAGCTCACAATATTAGGAAGCATATAATTATAAAAAAGTTTATTAAGCCCAGCTCAACCCTTAATAATTTGTAAAATATATTCCCATGTCAGGTGCAAGCTAATATTATTTTTGAGGTTCCAAGCCCAGTCGTATCCAATATAATTATGAAAATTTTTTCCCACCTCGGAGATAGTTAAATTTTTAATTTATTTATCATCGCCTGAAGGGCAAATATTTGATTTACCAATTAGTTTAAGATGTAAAAATAAACATTTTTGGAGTTATCTCCAATAATACGAGGTAATATTTTTTATTTCTTATAATAATATTAGGGCAGACCTTATTTTGTCATGATTCTCTAATAAGTGCTTTGTCCAGGCTTTCTCAGTTTCCCTTATTATCAATTCACATGTTTTTTTGCATATATAACTAGGAGTTAACTCATAGATTAATTGGTAAATCAGAGATTTCTCATTCATTAATTATAAATTTAATATCTCTAGGCTTGGGAAATTTTTTTCAAAATTAATGCAACTGTAGGAGGCTATATTAAAACCTATTGTCAAAGTAATACATTATTTACTAAATATTACAAATTATTAATATTTTATATAGAAATTCAATTTAACTGAGTTAACTTATAGATTAATTGGTAGATCAGAGATTTCTCATTCATTAATTATAAATTTAATATCTCTAGGCTTGGGAAAATTTTTTCAAAATTATTATGGGTTGGACTGGGCTTAAAAAATATTACTCAAAATTAATATTGGCTTGGTTTTCAAAAATTATTAGGGATTGAAAAGTGCTTGAGAAAACCTTTTTAAATTTTTAAGATCGATGGTTGGAAATTTTTTTCCAAATATGTAGGCTTGAACCTATATTGGGATTTTTTAATGTTAAATGTTAGTCTTATGTTAATATTTTTATAAAGAAATATATTTTACCCGTAGACTAATTGGTAAATCAGAGATTTCCACTTTATTAATTATAAATTTAATATCTCTGGGCTTGGTTTCAAAATTATTATGGGTTGGACTGGGCTTAAAAAATATTTCTCAAAATTAATATTTTCTTACTTTTCAAAATTATTAGCGATTGAGGTGGGCTTGAGAAATTTTTTTTAAATTATTAAGATTTTGGATGCTTGGAAATTTTTTGCAAATATTGTAGGCATTGGCGTACGCAGCGGGGGGGGGGGACAAATCCCCCCCAAAGCTAAAATGCAGATGCCGGACATATTTTTCAAAAATATTATTTTTTATATTTTTATATTTTATTATAATTATTCATATCTATTTCTTTTTAAAATTTTATATTATTATACCTTTTTCATTTACTAATTTACTTTATCAATTAATTTCATTTTCAAGTTTTTCTTGTGGCGTAATATTTATCTATTATTTTTAAATTTCCCCGTATTATAATTTTCAAATTTCTAGTCATGGATATTAGACTTTTTTTAAAAAACGCTGAAGGTGAAAATCATGCTAAAAAGCAAAAAAGTATAGTATGATAATTTAATAAACAAAAGCTGTGAACTGATGATTTCCTCATCAATTCAAAAGGGGGATATGATTCCCATTTCATCAATAATTGATAAAAATAGGGTTAAAATTGCAAAAGAAAATAGAGGCAAGATAAAACTAACTATTGAGGCTATTTTATATTGTGGCTTGCAAGGCCTAGCACTTCGTGGCCACAAGGATTCAGGAAGCTTAAATTTTAATAATAATGATAACGAAGGTAATTTCCGTGGACTTTTAAAATTTAAAGCATTAGGAAATCCTGTATTAATGGAGAGCCTCATTAGTACCAATAAAAATGCTACTTATCTCAGCCCTAGGATATAAAATAAATTGATTGTTGAAATCAATTCTGCCCCATGCTTCTCAATTTTGGCAGATGAGACCACGGACATTGCTGGCATTGAGCAGATGTCGTTGTGTGCGCGATATGTAGATACTCATAAAAACATTATCAAGGAAATGTTTCTCCAATTTATTCCTGTTTCAAGCATGACTGGGTCTGCTTTAGCTGATGTAATATTTGTGAATCTTAAAAAATTAAAAGTAATAATTAATCTTATTATATAATTATTTTAAAAAATATAGCTAAATATAAATATGATACGTGGGCAAGGGTATGATGGAGCACGTGCAATTAGTGGACAATTCAATGGGCTTCAGGCATTTATTAAAAAAAAATGCCCAACAGCTATATATGTCCACTGTGCTGCCCATTCACTCAACTTAGCAATATCGGATTCATGTTCTTTACCATTGATATCAAATTGCTTAGGTTTTTAATTATTAAATTAAATTTTTTATATTTATATCAGGTAAAATATCTAGCATCTATGAGATGTTTAGATACCCCAAGCGTCAAAATATTTTGAACAGAATTATATCTGAAACTCCTTGCCCAACAAGGAGAAAAAAATTGCAAAAAGCTTGTCCAACAAGATGGAGTCTTCGACATCAAGCAGTAACAGCTTTTATCGAGTTAGAAGAGCCGATTATTAATGCTCTTATAGAAATATCACAATGTCTGAAAAAGATATTTCTTCAGAAGCAAGCAAGTTACTGGATTCAATACTTATACCAATTTTTTTTTTCGCATTAGAATGTATTAATAAATTATTTAATTATACAACTATTTTATGTAATACTTTTCAAAAACCTGATATTGATTTGATTGAGATGATGAGAATAGCAGAGACAATTTTATTAGAACTCAAAGAAATTAGAGCTAATGCTGATGAGGAATTTCATATTTTATATGTTAATGTTGAATCAAAAGCAGAGCTATACGAGTTCAATATTTGTCTCCCTCGACTTACAGTAAGGCAAACTTATCATATATTAATATAGGGTCAATAGAAGAAAATTATAAAATAAATACCTCTTTTGGATACATTTATAATCCAAGTAAATGAAAGGATTTTAATTTATCAAGAAACACTTATCAATCTGCAGATATTACTTCCGCAAAAGCCCTCTGAATTTTCAGATGGTGATAGAAAAAAAATAAAATATTTGGAAGATTTTTATCATGATGCTTTATTAGCTGAATGCCAACTATGGTATAAAAGATTAACTATGGTTGATATAGTCCCAAAAAATGCTATGATGCTTTGCATCATTTCAAACATCTTTTAGATTATTTTCCCAATATATTGAAATATATATATTAGCAACTCTTCCCATTAGTACTGCAACTAATGAGAGAACATTCTCTTCTTTAAGAAGATTAAAAACGTACCTAAGAAGTACAACTTCTGAAAGTAGGTTGAATGGTCTGGCCCTTTTGAATATTCATAGGCATTTGACGCCAAACACGGATGAGATAATTGAAAAATTAGCTCCCTCCCAACGAAGATTGGATTTTACATTATAAAAATATAATGTTTCTATAATATTTTTTGTGCTATCATTTTTTAATGTCTTATATATTTTTCTTTTACATAAAAAATATAATTGTTCATATTTCCAACATTTAGATTTTTTATACTTTATATATAAATTTTAAAAGCTCAAAAAAATTTAAATTTCTATTATGGATTATTTATTTTATAGTCATCATATCCTGGTTATATCCACTTAATATTTTATAATTCAGATTTATTTAAAGTGTTTATATGCCGCCGGTTATATTCGTTTAATATTTTTTAAATCAAATTTATTTTTATATATCGGTTTATATATTTAATTTTTTATAATTCATATTAATTTAAATTTGTATATTAGAAATAATTATTAGTCCTAATAAATTTATGCTTGATATTTCCAAATAACAATAATTTTATTTTAAAAAATTTTAATTATCCCCCCCACACCAAATTCCTGCGTACACTACTGATTGTAGGCTTTAACCTTTGGAATTTTTTAATATTAAATGTTAGTCTTATATTAATATTTTTATAAAGAAATATCTTTTACCTGTAAACTAATTGGTAAATCAGAGATTTCCCCTAAAGATTATAACCAATGATAAAACAAGAACTACAACCAATGTGGTATATCGTGAGGTTATATCCGATTAATCCCGGTTTATACAAATAAGAGTGAACATTACTTAGTATGATATTATTTTATAATTTGAACAATTTTATATTATTTAAGCATCCTTTTGTCGGGCAGCACAATATGCCCTTTAATATCTGATGAATATTTTGTCTAACTGAAATTTATACAAAGTACATTTTTAAAATTTAACTAAATTAATATAGCAATTTTTAAGGATCCTACTTTTTTAAAAGCTTACCATTTTGTCGGATCCACCATTGCTCTATTATTCCTGCTGATTATTTTGTATAATGCTCAAAAAAATATACATAGTACATTATTTTTATTATTATTATTTTTATATATGATTTTATATCTATTCTAAAAAATCATTATATATTACAATATTTATTTTTATTCAATTAAAAACCTTTTTTAACAATACTCCTTTTTATTCTTTCAATAAAAAATACTAAATGGGGTTTTCTATTTATATGATTATATATTTATTCCAAAAAAAATACATATTACGGTATTTATATATTATTTAAATTATTCTATACTTATTCACAAGGATCCTATTTTTTTAAAAATGTGCCAATTGATCTCTCCGAATGTTATTTTATTTTATTCCTACCTTAGAATTATTTTTTTTTTACTTTAGAAAACTATCCCCATCTTATTTCCTCTTTATAATTGTTCAAATATTGATATATCAGCCATTAATAATGAACAAATGCAAAATAAACCTTTAGAATAAAATAATAGGCTTGATAAGTCCCCCCCTTCCCATATTTATTTGATGATATCCCTCCAACTACGAGATATATGTATCTAATATTGACCCATCTACTGTTTTACAGTATTTTAATGTTCGTTTTATTTCAATAATAATGTTTATTTATATTTTCGCCTGATTTATTTTCTAGGCTAACCCAACCTTAATCCCTCACATTGCTACAAAACATGATGAATCTATTAAAGATAAGCAAAGAAAATAATGACGAATAAACAAACGCTTTGCCCGTTCTAGAGTTATTGGTAGCCAAAATAATAAAGAACTACGCTTGAAATTAACTCATCTTGAGGTTTATTTTGTTTTTTTTATTTTATGTTTTATATTTTATGTTTATTTTATTTTCACCCAGTTGCCTCCAAATGATATTTCCATCACCACTATCACAATCCCTATGCCACCTCTGCCTATTTTTTAACAATTATAAACATTCAATTCCGTACTATCATTCACTTCACTAGGAATTATTATAAATATTACTTTATCCGATTCTCTGAGAAACTTTCATGATTATTTAGAGGAATGTTCAAACTTTAATGTGCAGTACGGCCATTTTCATCAACTTTATTAATGGAAAAATATGCAGTAGTTCTGTCGGCCTTTATAACAATTCTTACTACCTTTTTATGGTTGAGTTAACATTGTCGTTCAAGATTCTATTTTAGAGAGGGCTACCAATGCTGACATTGACAAAAATATCATTTTGCGTTCTTCTTTTACCAGTATCCCAAGCCATAAGCATATGCCTTCTTTATCAGGACGTAATGTGTTTTGTACACTGCTTGGTAACCCGTCATTACTTTCACCTACAACCCTAAATGGTATAAAATTGTACATTAATTATTTCCTCTCCAGACGACCGCCCAGATTTATTTTGTCGCTTTTTCCTTCAAAAATTAAAATGTCAATAAGGATTTGCTCTTAATTTTATCAAATACACAAAATAATAATTATTCCTCATTATTTTTAAAAAAATTAGCCTAAATTTTTATGTCAATAAAAAATATTTTCTTAAAAAATATATAAATAATTTGCATATAAGTTTCATAAGTGTTTAATGGCATTTTTGTAATTCAAATAGATAGCATTTTTTTTTTACTTAACATAAAAATATAGACAAATAATTTCGGAAATGCAAGACATACATTAAATTTATCTGAAAAGCAACAATAACCCTACAAAATAACAACAATTTATTTTTTAGATATAATTTTAATTGATCATATTACCAAAAAGTATAAGAGTCGGTTATTTTTATTTTATTTGTCATGATTCTCTAATATTTGCCCAGGCCTTCCCAGTTTCCCTTAATACAAATTCACATGTTTTTTTTACATCTTAGACTAATTGGTAAATCAGATATTTCCCCTTGATAAATCAATTAAAAATTTAACTACGAGGTAACAAAAAATTTTCAAAATTATATTGGATACGACTGGACTTGGAAACTCAAATAATATTAGCTTGCACCTGTGGGAATATCTTTTACAAATTATTAAGGGTTGAGCTGGGCTTGATGAACTTTTTTATAATTATAAGATCTTGGATGAAAAAAATGAATAAAAATCTCATTCCCCGTTATTTTTTACGGGCTTTCTACTAGTTTATATAATTTTCAGATATTTATTGAAATATTATAAACAATTTCATATCAAATAAAAACGGCCATGACTAAAATACAAATTTCTAAAAACTACGAATTGCCAAGTAAATTGCGAATTGCCGTTCAAACTAAGAATTGCGCAGATTAATGTTAAAATATGATAAAATGATGGAAAATAGGATGACTAAACTACGAATTGCCATATTTAATGTTAAAATAAAGTGACTAAACTACGAATTACCGTATATAATGTCAAATTAAAATGACTAAACTACGAATTGCCGTACTTAATGTTAAAATAAAGTGACTAAACTATGAATGCCGTTGTTGATCGATTGATTTTTTATTTAACTTAAATTGTTATTATATATTATAGCCTTTAACTATATATTTCGTTTAAATTGTTTTTTTTATAATACATATATATATATACCTTATTTTATATTTATTGTAAGTATCATTTTAGTTTTAGAATAAAATTATTATAAATAAAAATCCCCACCGTTATCTATCACCACTGTTATCACCTATGTAACATGGTGTCCCGGCCCAGGAATGGTAACTCACAATGATATATAAAAAAATCTCGTATATATTGTGCATATGCCGATAAATGACACACACAAAATTATGACACTGAAATGTACCAAATGATGATCAAATGGATGATTCAACTGGGAAGGAGAATTACTAAACTTAATATCAAACTAGACGAATCTATCATGGATAATGGAGTTGTTATAAATGGAAATGATTATTAAAATTGGGTATATGAACTTACAAGAACCAATATGATATTTAGACAATAGGTTATGAATTCTATGTAGTAAAACCAATGATGATTTATAAAATATTCTAAATCCACGTAAAAAAAATTTTATAATACTAGTGACATAGGTTATTATAATAATAATAGAAATAATAATTATAACAAAAGGAATTATAATGATTATAAACCTAATGAACCTTTTAAAAACAACTTTGGACGAAACTTTGTTAAAAGATATGATATTAATTGTAATAAAAATTGCAATATAACAATTTTAGATATTATGAAAATTATAATTGTAGAGACTACAGAAATTATAAAAATAACAACTTTAGAGGACATAACTGTGAATCCCATGATAAGAAAAATGTTCGTAATAAAAATTTTAATAAATCTAATAATGAGAATTATTATGAAAATAGAAAATTAGACAATAAATATGATGAAGAAACACATTATAATAAAAGAAATTATCATTGTAATTGTAAATCTCTTAGTAACAAAAAATTGAAAAATATTGAATTAGAACCGAATATTCAAAATGAAAGAGATTCTTATAAACTAAAAGAGATAAATTATATAATAAATTATATAATAAAATTTGAAATATTCGTGATTATAGAAAATAAGGAAATAAACATTAAAGAAAACAATGAAACAAAGATTAAAGAAAATGATAAAATTAAAAAAAACTCTTATAAGTAACAATAAATGCGATAAAAAAAACTTGAGACTTATAAATTTGAAGACAATTAAAAGTATCACTAAGAGAAGTCATATAAAAACTAAACGTCTTCATTCTAGAATAATACTCAAGGATGTGATGAAGAGATCTTTTTCTAAAAATTTGAGATAAATTATTTTTTACTAAAAGCAATCTTATGAATAATTATTATTTCAAAATACTTTTAAATTAAAAAATAAGGGCATAAAGTTTAAATTTCTGAAGAGAGAGATGGATGTACAGACGTACATATCATCTTTTATAAAAAAAAAATACATAATATAATATTGATTTTTTTTAAAAAAAAAATAAAGGGGAATTAAAAATAATATAAAATGATATATTATAAAAAACGCGGTAAAAAATAAATGATATATTATGAAATCTATTATCTAAAACGCAAAATTGAGAAACGTAAAACGCTATTATCTAAAACGCAAAATATATATAATATAAAATTAAAATAAAACGCGACCAATTATTTATTTCATTCCAAATATTCAATATTTGATAAATTTATTCTGCTTCAATTATTCTTAATCAAATTTGTTATTCGTTAAATTAATTCTATTTAGTTTACTTATTCTATAACGACGTTATTTAAATCATTCAAAATCTTCATATATATTTAATAACAAATAATGATAATAACAATATTAAAAAATTGATAATAATAATTATTGAGATATGAAGCTTACGATTTAAACAAACTAACGATTAAGACGACTTATGCAACAACTTGACAATCAAAATGATAAATCATTTGGACGACAAGCTTGCTATGACAGCTCAGATGGATTGTGGGAATGCTTTTCAGAAGAAGGGGAATGTTGATCGATTGATTTTTAATTTAACTTAAATTGTTATTATAGCCTTTAACTATATATTTCGTAAATTGTTTTTTTATAATACATATATATGCCTTATTTTATATTTATTGTAAGTATCATTTTAGTTTTAGAATAAAATTATTATAAATAAAAATCTCCACCGTTATCTATCACCACTGTTATCGCCTATATAACAGTCGTATATAATGTTAAATTAAAATAACTAAACTACGAATTGCAGTATATAATGATAAATTAAAATGACTAAACTACGAATTGCCATATATAATGCTAAAATAAAATGACTAAACTACGAATTGCGGTAATTAAAGTTAAATTATAGTAACTAAACTACGAATGCGGCAATTAATGTTAAATTATAATGACTAAACTACGAATTGCCGTATTTTATGTTAAATTGAAATAACTTGACTACGAATTGCGGTAAAATGACTAAACTACGAATCGCAGTATATAATGATAAATTAAAATGACTAAACTACGAATGCCGTATTTAATATAAAAATAAAGTGACTAAACTACGAATTGCCTTATTTTATATTAAATTAAAATGACTAAACTACGACTTGCCTTATTTTATGTTAAATTAAAATGATTAAACTATGAATTGCCTTATTTAATTTTAAATTAAATTGTTTAAACAGTAGATGATGTTAAATTATAATGACTAAACTACGAATTGCGGTAATTAATGATAAATTAAAATGACTAAATTACGAATTGCCGTATATTATGCTAAAATAAAATGACTAAACTACGAATTGCGGTAATTAAAGTTAAATTATAGTAACTAAACTACGAAATGCGGCAATTAATGTTAAATTATAATGACTAAACTACGAATTGCCGAATTTTATGTTAAATTGAAATAACTAAACTACGAATTGCGGTAAAATGACTAAACTACGAATTGCAGTATATAATGATAAATTAAAATGACTAAACTACGAATTGCCGTATTTAATATAAAAATAAAGTGATTAAACTACGAATTGCCATATATAATGTTAAATTAAATGACTAAACTACAAATAGCGGTAATTAATGTTAAATTAAAATGATTAACTACGAATTGCCGTTAAAATAAAATGACTAAACTGCGAATGGCCGTATTTAATGTTAAAATAAAGTCATTAAACTACGAAGTGCGGTAATTAATGTTAAAATAAAATGACTAAACTACGAATTGCAATTAATGTTAAATTAAAATGACTAAACTGCGAATTGCCGTATTTAATGTTAAAATAAAATGACTAAACTACTAATTGCTGTAATTAATGTTAAATTATAATGAATAAACTACGAATTGATGTATTTTATGTTAAATTAATATGAATAACTTACGAATTGAGGTAATAGTGTTAAATTATAATGACTAAACTACGAATTGCCCTATTTAATGTTAAAAAGACTAAACTACGAATTGGCGATAATATTAAATTAAATTGTTTAAATAGTATATGATGTTAAATTAAAATGACTTAACTGCGAATTGCCGTATATAATGAT